AAATAACAACCCTTTTGTACTTGATCCAATGAGTCTTATTATAACTGGAATTAAAAATTTAGAAAAGTGGAATCTCCCATGAATAGAAAAAGATTGCTTTGTTGACCAACGTGATGGATTTTTCCGTTCCTAAAAGAGACTGACAGGACTAGATGGCAAGAAGCAATTAATCTCATTCTTAATATAGAACTTGCTGAAGCTACGTGTCAACTAAGTATGTAAAGCCTCCTCTCGCATTATTCAAACCTGCGGATTTTTTTTTCATTTTACTAAGCATTAAATACTCAGAGTACATCACACATTATATTTATGCCGACTCGAAACCCATCAGTTTCAAGTCAATTGTCACAGCATAGGTGTACATACGTGACACGTGTATTGCAGATGGCCGACCTACGTGGCCAAACCACTGGGAAAAAGTGAACCTACTCATTTTCCTTTGTATCTCCGACGAAATAACAACAATAAATTCAGAATTAATACAGCAGAAATTTATAGGAAGGTGAGAAAGTGGTTAAGCTGTTGGACTTCACATGAAGGCGAGCTCACGCACATGGCTCCCTGATCCTTTCACGGTGACGTCATTGCGGCAGCCAATGAAAAGCAACCAGCTGAGCTGAGACTACCTTATATTCTATCTACCTTGGACACCCCAACCCTACGCTTAGCTCCACCACCCGAAACTTACCTTTTTGAAGAAATCGTGGTCTGACATCTTGGGTCTGTGGATGGACATGAGATTTTCCTCGAAAGGGAGATAGCTAAAACTGGAATTCCCAAGGTAAGGCTGAAATATGCCTGTCTGTCACTAACCAGGAAGCCCAGGGGGAGGGGGGGTTCTGACCCCCTAAACTCTCCCTTCCCTACGTCACTGGGCACCCAAGCCTTCAATGGATCCTTGAAATAGGTCTAAGCCAAGCATCACATTCAGCCTGGCCTAGTCTCACATGTTGTCATGGGATCTTCCCTTCCTTTCTTTCTTATCGGTTCCCTAGGAAAAAGTCAGTAAAAATCTTAAATCAAATGTGTGTTAATGCCGATGGCCGATATGATAATAGACCCGCAGGTGATGGGAACGACGAACACTTTTCAATACAACTGCGAGGAAATGTCAGCTTCGATGTAAAGTCGAGTGTAGAAAACTGGTGCCCTACACTAGTCTCGAAGTAGTTATCTAGACTGTACAGAAATGGCGCCAGTGCCCTCTCAACTCAGATTGACCACAGCAGTATCAAATTTTAATATTTTTTAAATATACAATTAATTCTAACAGAGGAGATCAAGGGCTTTCGAATGATGTATCACACAAGAATTTGGGTCCAAAATTAATATGAAAAGTCATTGAGGTCAGGTTAGAGGTCAACTCAAAAAAAAAGTAAAATGAGTTTGCACATCGCAAAAAAAATTAGAAAACCAATGAGCTGTCGTTGATGAAAATCAGTTGAGAAACCTGTGAGGAGTTCACTGGACAAAATCTGGTCATACAGACATTTGCGGGTCGTTATGTATGTCGATGGCCATATTTAAAAATTTTTGAGAATTGAGACTGTAAAATGTATTCCAAGGGGAGTTATGACCCCCATAACCTCCTCCCTTGGGTACGCCACTGATAAGAGTCAACAAGATTGTAAAATAACGGTTGCATTTCAAAGGATGGAAGGGAGACGACCACTCCAGTCCTGGACCAGACCAATTTATTTCGTGAAAATTCCAAGTCTTGAGGGAGGCCGGGGGAGGGGGTCATCGGGGACAATCTGCCCCGGGCCTCGTCTATCAAGGGGCCCCAAGAGGGCCTCCAGTTTAGTTTTGCCCCGGGTCTCTGGAAACCTCTGGGTGGCCCTGGGTACCACCAAACTTTATGATCTAGTGATGACCTGCATCGTTTATATGTGAAATCGTTCAAAACTGTAGTCTTATCTCATGGCCCCGGTTTCTCATTGCAGGGTTCATCCTCAACAGCATGTTCCACTACCGATTCAATTTCATATTCCCTTGCATCGGATGTATGAGGGGCAGTCAAATGAAAACGGGACATGAGGTGAATCACCATTTTCCTGCAAATTAGTAGAAATTATCGGTACATCATTTCTCTACGTAGTCTCCCCCTTGTCGATGCACTTGCGCTAGCGTTCCACAAGTGCCCTTATTCCAGAGGAGAAGAAGGACTTCGGACGCTTGCGAATCCACTCTTGCACCGCCTCTTGAATCTCACCGTCAATCTTAAATTTTCGTCCACTGAGCGCCTCTTTTAGGGTGAAACAGGTAGAAGCCACTTGGTGGGAGGTCAGGGCTATAGGGTGGACGCTCAAGCACCTCAAAACCAAGCCTCGCGGTGGAGACTTTTGTTTTCTGTGCCGTATGTGAGCGGGCATTATCATGCTGCAGCAGGACTCCTTTTTTCAGCATGCCACGACGTTTTGTTCTGATTGCTGGCTTCAGTTTCTCGTTGAGAAGCGAGGACTATGTCTCACTGCTGACAGTAGAGCCCTGGTTGAGAAAATCAGCAACGATTACCCCTCGTATGTAATACGGTTAACACGATCTTCCTTGCCGATGACGACGTTTTGACCTTCTTGGGTGGAGGCGAGCTGGTGTACCGCCCCAGCTTAAAATTACGGCTGGAAACAGCTATAATTTCCAGTTGGATCCCAGCTGTAAATTCTGACCCATTCTAACTGGGTAGCAGCTGGAAAGTAGCCAGATTCAGATTGGTTCCTAGTTGCAATATCACTAGCTGAATGAGAAACTTTTTGTTGACTATTTTTGTCGGAGGTTCATTCACAGAAGCAGCTGAACTTCAGTTGTAAATTCAGTTGTATTCCAGCTGTCGGGTCCTCCGTATAAAATTCTCCGTATAAAAATGTCCAGCTGGAAACTGCTATTAAAACCCGTTGAATTCCAATTGGGAAATTCCAGCTATAAACAAACCGGTATCTACTATTTTTCAGCTCTTTGCCAGCTGAAAATGGTCCGAATTTACCGATTTAATCCTGCTGGAATATTCCAGTTGAGATTTTAAACTGGGGCCATTCCATGCTTTTTTGCTTCGCCTCAGGTATGTAATAGTGCACCCATGATACATCGCCCGTGACGATTCTTCCATCACCCTCTCTTTCGAAACGGGACAGTAATGACTGTGCAGTCTTTGCAACTTCAGTTCTTCGGTCAGCTGTCGCAGGACCCAGCGAGCACACACTTTCCGAAAGCCAAGCTCACTATGGACGATATAATGAACCGAACCATGACTCATGTTCATTAGGGAAGCAATTTCATCAATGGTGATTCGCCGATTTCTTCGTACAAGGGCTTCCACTTCCCTGATGCTCCCAGGAGTCACAAGACGATGAGCTTTTCCCGGACGTGGGGTATCGGTGACACTTGTTTCCCTGTTTTTGAACTTGTTAAGCCACTCGTACACTTTTGACCTTGCTATGCAATAATCGTCGTACACTGCCTGTTGTCTTCTGTGAATTTAGTTGCCATTCGTCTGCAACCGCCTGCAACCAAAAACCGGATCACTGCTCGAAGCTCTTCCTTGGTGCATTTCATTTTCGCTGGTGCAATTTTTTCCTTATCGCTGTGCAGTTGCAGCCGTTCGAGACTATGGGGCAGTGCTGGAAACCTTAGTAATAAGGCAAGGCCCAAACGAACGGATTCGATATAGGTGCAGTTTTCATTTGACTGCCCCTTGTAAGTTCAATATATTTTTGTCCGAGGATTGATAAATCTATCGAGGTCCGCGTCATTACTCACGCAGATAGCACATGCTCACTGCACAAAGGTCGAAAGCAGAAGTCGTGGTAGAGGTAGATTATTTACAGGAGGTGAGACATTGAGGTATGAGCTATTTTAAGAGAGAGATAATGTATATTACTGAGGCTGCCTGGCGGCATGCCGACGTCGTCACTGAATGCCTCCGTTTGGAGATGCTCAAAGAGGAGTTATCAAAGAGCCGGTGGAAAAAAAGTAACTAAGAAAGAATAAAAAATAATTGCATAAATGTTTGGAGGGGCGTAACTCCTACCCCTGCGCAGTGGCGTGCCCAAGGGGGGGGGGGGGGGGTCATTCCTTCCCCTTGGGATCAATTTTACAGGTTCGATTCTCACAAATTTTTTTATTTGGCCACAAATACAGGGTGGGTTATCAGGTTTTTCATGTTAACCCCCCCTCCCCCCCCCATCCATTAGGGTGGGTAATCAATGTTTCATATGGCAACCCTCCGCCTTTCGGATTTCCTGGGCACGCCACTGCCCCTGCGTATAGTGCGCCCATGGTGGAATGCATGCTGAATGCTGATAGTTTTTCCTTCATATATTGAATATGTAATATCCACAAAAGCCAAAGCTCCGCTGTTTTTGTTCCCTACCCCCTTATGTAAGGGTCAAATGCTTTAGATATACCATGCAGATTTGGGAATAGTCAATTCTAAACACTGATTGAAATCAATGGCAAAACACTGACCGCGCATGTTCGATTCTCTACTGGTTTGGGCCTATGGCGCGCTCCGCGACTCGCATTGCCCTATAGGCCAAGTGGAGGTTTTTTTTGTTGGGCAACACTGAGTTGTTCAGTGGAGCCTACGGTGGTTTTTCTTACATAGTCCGCACATTTTCCCCATGATTCCGACATGCACAACGGAGTTTTGTTCCTTCCAATCCCCGCCTTCATGCAACGGCTACTGTTAGGCTAAGTCTAACGTTAGGCCTAACATTGAAATTGAACCTGGTAGGACCAAGTGCATAAACGTCGAACTCGCCCGAAAATACACGAGCGATTAGAACGAACAGCGCAGGTAGCGAGACCATGGGATACTTAGGTCTTGTCCGCAGTCACTTGGAGTTGTGATCTTAGACACAAGATCCCAACTTTTCAGGTAAGTACCCTTCTGAATAATATAGAAATGGCTGCCACTGTTTTTATTTATTTAAATGGCTTCAATTGTAGCACCGATACCAATGGTCCCTTGATCAGCTCCTTACTTGAAAAAGAATGAAATAAAAATGTAGTCATTAAATCTTACAGGCACCTAGGGACCTAATCAGATTGCTCCATTTCAAATCTGTAGGTCTATTGGGATGTTCTTCCCAAGTAGTTCCATTGCTTTTGGATTGTATTTGTACTTGCAGATAGAGAAAATGCACTTTATCAACTGATTTGTGTAACCATTCTTCTATGCTACTGCCTTCAACCTACAAAAGGAGGGGGGGATTACAATTTGATCTGCAAAATTGTAGGGCAATTAGGGGGGAATATGACTTATCAGATTAAAATTTTTAATGGAATACAATTGCCTTGGAAATTGAACCAATTATTATTTGCTAATAATGTCCATAAATATTTTGCATAGAAGCATTAGCTATAAATATAAGTGTGTCGCTTCTGGTCATATCCCCCCTTATTATTAAGGGAAAATGGCCTCATTTTTAAGGTCATCAAGAACAGTAAAACTGCTGGAATTAAGTTAGACCAGTTTAAGGATATTATTCTCGTTCAGCATGACAAATATTGCTCTTAACTAAGGGAAACATTCCATCTAAAAATAGAAAAAATAGTATTAGCTTCATAGATGGCATAAAACTAATAAATAGGATTAAGTAAGAAAGTGCCTTAAAATGCTAGTTTTAAACCTCATTTAACCTAACCTGAGCCTAACCAATTGGATGATTGTCTTGTCTCACCTCACCAATTGAATTGCCTAAAGGGGTGAGGAGAGACCAAGCCAACCTTCCATCAACCTCTCTTGGCCTTCCCAACAGGAATAAGGATGATTTTGAAAATCTGAGGTACAAGTATATGAGTACTGCTGCTCTTAATATTATTTCTTATATTCCTTTGGTATTTTGGTAAGAAAAAAGAATGGGGGAATGGGGAATTCAACTGATTTCGGTAAATGGATTGGTAAAAAAATATTGAAAATATTTTCCCAAGGCTTGTGACTCTGGATACATATGTTTAAGGTTTGAATATAATATTAAAGTTTGCATATTCCATATATACCTTGTTGTTTTTGGTTTTTAGGATTGAAGTAAAGGAAGTACCCCTACTTGAACTTCTTTGGCTATACTAGCCTAAAGTACTCAGAAGTAATTAAGGAACATTTTCCATATAAAAAAAAAAATCTTATGGCAGTTAAGAGGCATTACCATAGTCACACTTCATTAAAATAAAGTACAAGGGGCCAGAACAAAAATTTATTGTAAAGAGGTTTTTCTTATATCAAGGGATATACTTGCCAGCTCTGGTGAAGTCTTTAGATGCAAAATATTAGAGATACAAGTACTGCACAGTATATATAGCAAAATGTGGAGCTGTCATAATGGCTACATTTTCTCGAATGTAAAGTTGAGCATAACAAAGTTACACTTTGTTTTCACATATAAGCAGTATCATGCCAGGGAATTTGGCTATTTTAGAGGAATACTTTATAACAAGGTTTTACTTTAAAGAGATTTATTATAAAGAAGTTTGACAATTCATTGGGAGCAGTGTAGGAAAAATTTTTTTTTTTTCCCGTGAACCTGAGGTGATGAGTTGGAATTTCCCAGGAAGGATATACAAGCGGTCTAAGCGGGCCATCCACCCACACGTCTCTGTTCCCGTGAACTTTATTCGCAGGTTTGCAAGGGTTTTTTATAGCCTGATTGGGAGTATGATTAATTTGCTAGGAATTTGCAGTATAGCTTCAATTGCTTATGCTTAAATGAACTCCATGCCTTTCTTGCTAATGTTTTGCAGATACCAGTACATATGTAGCTGATATATATATAAGCCCTAGGTGTCAATCGTGAAACTAGACCAATCCAATGCTTTCTTGGCAACATGAGGAACAACTCTGATGAAGTACTGTTGGCACATCTTTTGAATGATCCAGGATCTGACGCTGAGTTTCAGCCAACTTCTGTTGCCCACTTGGTTCTTGGTAAGTCATGCCTAAAAAGTGAAACAGATATGAGGTGACAGTGAAATAACTTTGAGCTGCAACGGTTTTGTTAATTTATTTCCAGGCTATCTCTATGACAACCAATGGCTCAAGAGTGCACGACAGTTCTTATTGGAATGTCCCCTACTTCAGGAAGTGCTGGAACAAAGCAAGAAAAATAAGCCAGTCTGCCTGAAAGTCAACCATATGGATCTTATGGACATACTCACAGAATACTCCAGAGTGCATTCATTGAGTTAGTTGATTTTGCTTCAAAATTCATTTTATCCTTCATCATATTCATATATATCTTCATATTGTATGGAGTGCCACAAACCTTAGTGACCTTTGGCAAAACCTATAGCAGAACTGTTGTATAGTGAGGCAAAACAGGTTTTATTTTTTAGCTAAGTATTAAATTCAACATTTACAAGCTGAATTGTAGTATTGCATGAAGCTATCACTGTCCTTAATTACAGCTCAAAGGTGAGATGGATAGGACTGCTGAAAATTTAAGTGGAAGTCAGTGTCACACTTGAAAATTCAGTGAACTCTTGAAAAATTTACTATGGGCAAATTGCTTCTCAAGAGACCCACAGATGATCAGATCTTCAGCTCCAACACCTGAGGAAAATAGAGTAAATAGCACACTTTCATGACTAGGACTTAGCCTATAACTATAGAATTGATTACTTCAGAAATACAGCCCATTATGCTTCACCATCACACAGTTCTGCTAAAGAGGGGAGGCTAAGGTTTTGTGGTGCTCTGTATCATATAAATTGGTTTACAATTGCCTAGAACATGTCATAGGAGTATTTGGTGCTTTGATCCTCAAACAAAACCAATTTCATTTCATTTCATAGTCCTCAGTGCTTATGAGAGACTGAAACTAGTGATTCAACTGGAGGAAGGGGATAAACAATTTCCTAGTCATCTATTGAAGAAGGTGATTACATCCTATGCTCCAATGCCTGTGAGGGGTACAAAGACCAGAGCAGTAAGTGGTAGTTTTTAGTGTCAATATGCTATGTCTGATGTGTGAATAGGTTGATAGTACTTATTTGTACTCTGTAGGTATAGTGCTTGCATTTTCTGTTGGGAAACAGTTGAGGCCAGGAGCCTACTCATAAAAAATGAAGATGAAGAATCATCTTTATTTCCCTGAATGCAAAAGTGAAAGTCAAAACAAGGTGAAGCATGAGACCCTTGAAAGGTTGCCCACAATAATTAAAACAAGTTGCAGGCAAAATAAGCATTAGAAAAATGTGAATAGTAACTAAATAGTAACAAAATGAAATGTAGTACACACATATGACAAAAAGGAGTCACAAGAAGGCAATTTCTGAAGAAAAAAAAAGGTCTTTACATGCATTTTATTAAACTGTGTAGAACTATCCTAAGCTGGAATATGACAAGCAAGGGAGAATCAGCTCACGACCAGTTCGCAAGAGGTCATCAGAGGAGCCTTCAGTTTCATCTACAGACATGACCAATGCTTCCATCTCTCTTCAGCATCAAGGTGAAATGGTTTCTACTAGTAAGTATATAGGTCTAGTTGTAGTAGGGATGGGTTATTGACCTGTCAATATTGTCAACTATGGTCAATTATGGTCAGTAAGACCAACTTTTTTTTTTTCCTGCACAGTTTGTGCTCCATTTGTATGCCATGATACTAGTGATAGACTAGGCATGGGAAGTTAACTGGTCAATATGGTCATTTATGGACAATAATGGTCACTGAGCTTAATAAAAGGTTAGACCTTATGACTGTATATGGTCATGAATGACCATCTTGACCATCTAAGATAGACTTTACCATGCAGATTGCATGAGTTGGAGCATTAAACAGTTATCAGTCATATTTCAGAGGTAAATTCTATGACTAGTTGGCTCCATAAGTATGCTTAATAGTGAGGCATGCAACACATAGTGTCCAAAATGAGTTTCTTAGCTTCTGGTATAAGTATTTATTCCTGTTCTTGTCAGAAAAAAGCCTCTGCCTTGCTCAAGGAAGTACTTTTTAGCTAGATTAATTTTTTAGGCACAGACCTAGGCATAATCCAAGTAAGTTTACTTGTCCCTTGATTACAGACTGATTATAATTTGATGCTCTGATGCAGACCATTGGCCAAGACCATGATAGACCTTGCATTAAGCTAAAGTTCTAAAGCTGTAACTTAGATCTTGTACTTTAACTTTCAAAGTCATGAAGGCTGTAAGACCTTGAATAGCAGACTATGCCATTACACACACTATACCAATCAGATGAGAGGTCATGGTAGTTTGAACATTAGCTATAATATTTTCTTACCCAACAGATGCCATAGTCCAGATGTTTGGCAGGCTGCATGTTTATACATTTAAAATTGAATTGACTCTGGTTTTAGTGCTAGTGAATAAATGACTGCAGCCATGAGCTTTATGAAAATTTATTTATTCACTGAATAAAAAAAAGAGCAGTCAATAACTATCAATTAAAAGGTGGTCAATTTACCACCCCATCCCTAAGTGCTATTATTCATTATCAAGAATGACACGTATAGATAGCACTTATTTCTTTTTATTGGATTCAATTCCTGTATCTAATGTCATTATGTTGGTCTAATATAGAATCTTTTATCATTTGAGCCTATCCTGAAGAACTTTTGATACTCCTCCAGAACATATAGATACTCTTAAATGGGATCTCATAACATTTCCTTTGCTCTTGTTTCAGAATTTGTAACATGTGGAAGTACTTCTGGCATTGAAGCTGAACAGCCAGCCCAAATGTAAGTATTAATTCATTTGCAAAATTATGCATTGGTATTTGTGTATGTATTGGGAATGACACTTTTTTCAGCATCAATGCTTAACCCTTTAAAGAATTAATTTTTTTTTGCATGACAAACCTTGTTCAGAGTGAATTTTTCCTTGGAGGAAGGATTGACCCTCACAATCTTGACATGCTTCTTTTTTTTCTACAAAAACATTTGTAATTTCACTTAAAATGCATGCCAATCTCTATCTTCAGTTTTATATATTTATCACAATGTCAGCTTAGTTAGGCAACTAATAGTCTTGGAATTTCTACCATTGAGTGTACTATGCATGGGTGGATCCCCTGCCTCAGAACAAGTGCTTCACAAATGAATTCATTGGTGAAATATGCATAAAATACAAGGGTCACCCAAAAGTAATGCTTCGTATTTTTTTCTTCTCTATCTTTAATTCTTTGTCCACGAAACAATAGGCAATGCTGGGCATGCAACAATGGGCAACACTGTGACATGGGAAGCACACTCACCCTGAATGCATTTTCTGTTATAACACTGGTAGCCTATAATGTGGGCGTTATTCATGTCCCCCAATGCCCACATTATATTGGGCTTTCACTGTACAGGGTGCGTAGGAAGTTCTGTTACAAACGTTTCTTTGCCAAAAACAACCAAAGCAACAAGAACGACAACTTCAATTGATAATTTATTTAGTACAAAGTGTCAGTCAATGTTAGGAACCATAGCTACTCGATATGTCCGCCACGTTTGGAAATGCAAGCCTTCAATCGAGGGCGGAAAGCGCGTACTGCAGCACGCAGCTGATGCTGTGGAATATTCTTCCATTCTCGGACCAAAGACTTCTTAAGGGCTTCGATGTTGCGGTGGGCACTAGCCCCAACTCTTGTCTCCAAAATGGACCAAATAGAAAAATCCAGAGGGTTCAGGTCAGGGGAGCTGGGAGGCCATTGGTCCTTCGTAATGAAGTCCGAAATTTCATGATGAAGCCATGCTTGGGAAATGTTGGAAGTGTGTGCTGGCGCACCGTCTTGCTGAAATGTCCAAGCCTGGTTGCTGAACATGGTTTGACCCGCATGTTTCACTACTGGGTCTAGAATGAGATCTTTGTACATTGTACTGTTTATCTTGACCCCTTCAGGAACGAAAACCAGATTGGTGCGACTGTTGGCAGACACACCTGCCCAAACCATAACAGACTGGGGGTGTTGTGAATGAGGCACGATTAGCATATCGCCTGAGACATCTGAGATCCGTGGTGCGAGAATCCGATCATTTTGTCGATTGGAGACGGCCTGGATGGTGAACAATTAAGCCCCAACTCTTGTCTCCAAAATGGACCAAATAGAAAAATCCAGAGGGTTCGGGTCAGGGGAGCTGGGAGGCCATTGGTCCTTCATAATGAAGTCCGAAATTTCATGATGAAGCCATGCTTGGGAAATGTTGGAAGTGTGTGCTGGCGCACCGTTTTGCTGAAATGTCCAAGCCTGGTTGCTGAACATGGTTTGACCCACATGTTTCACTACTGGGTCTAGAATGAGATCTTTGTACATTGTACTGTTTATCTTGACCCCTTCAGGAACAAAAACCAGATTGGTGCAACTGTTGGCAGACACACCTGCCCAAACCATAACAGACTGGGGGTGTTGTGAATGAGGCATGATTAGCATATCGCCCGAGACATCTGAGATTCGTGGTGCTAGAATCCTATCATTTTGTCGATTGGAGACGGCCTGGATGGTGAACAATTTTTCATCTGAAAACAGGATTTTGTCCACATCATCAGCCGTGAACCGCTGCAGCAGGGCCTTGCTTCGTTGAAGTCGCAACTGCCTTGTGCGAGGTGGCAGCAGTTGCGCATGCTTGCGTTTGAGAGATTTCAGATGAAGATGTTTCTTGACAATAGTTCTCATGGATCCCTCTGATATGTGCATTTCCCTGGCCATCTTCCTCATGGGCCTGGGGTTCCATTGAATTCAGAGAGCCACCTTTTTCACCATCTCTGGAGCCGTAGCAGACCTTGGGCGTCCACTTCTCTCACGATCCTGGATAGAGTGGGCCTGCTGATATCGTTTAATGGTGCGATGAATGAACATACGATTCGTGCCTTGGCCTGAGAGGTCTTTGAATATCTCTGGTGGCGTTTTTCCGCTGAGATGAAGCTCAATGATGGCTGCAAGTTGTGCATTCATTTTGGCACAATAAATGATAGGAACTGATGAGACCATTGCTTCATCTGCAACTTTAAGCTACATGTCCATACAAGTCACCCGCCCATAGGCTTGTAAAAGATTCTACCCGGGAGACATTCTATGTGAGTCCAAAGTTTGTAACAGAACTTCTTACGCACCCTGTATGCCAATTCAGACAAGAGGGGCTTCTTGGTAACATGAAACTGCTTAAACCCCATCCTTTGGAGTTCCCAGCTCACAGACATTCGACCTCGCGTTTTTCCTCGCTCTTCCTCCAAGATATTACCCAGCACTCGGACACTTTTTTGTTTGCCAGCCTCAGACCTGATGGTCTCCCTAGATGCTTCCGAAATGCAGCGACCTCCAATTCCAATAGGAGCAGTAGACATTTCACACTCGTAGGGGCTTTTATTCCAGTTAATCCTCGCGAAATTTTCGGACTTTTAATTTAAGCGGATTTTCTTTGGATCTTTTAGCTGTCCACGATCAACTCGTTGCCGCATCTCGCGCTTCTCGGAAAGTGACGGCGCGGATCCGGTCCACAAATCTCAATTTTTCTGAGTCACTACAAGCCATCTGGGAAAGTTAAAGATGTCGTTAGAATAGTCGACGGATGTGCCTTACAATATTACATCATACGTGTGTGTAGCCCTTTTGGTTTGGGCGGTGGAGGGGGGCTCTATCTGGGACACCCTATTAACTGACATGTTGGATGCGTAGTCAGAGTAGTAAGAGTAATGTGTGCAATCACATGATTGCCCTAGGGATGCGCGTGAAATTTCTTGATTTTCTGACCAGTTGGCTCTTTGAACCGTGCCTAAATAAACCCGTGCGCAACCTTATTAGTGACAGGAAGAATTTCGTAATTCACAAATTTGAAGATAAGAGAAAATGTTAGTAAAAGTAATCCGAATGTAGTACAGTATGAATAGTAATGCTACTATTGCGATGGGACCCCCAAAATTTCTGAGCGACCCTTTCATATAAGGGTCCTGGGGCAAGAAAATTAGCGCACGCCCTGGTGTCCAATTGAAATAAATGGAAGGTGTATGAGCCCAAAGTCACTTATTTATTTCTGCTTTCTGTATACAATTTGTCAAAAATATCAAAGCATATTCAGGCTTATTTGAGACATAAACTCTCGTCCCCCTTGTTTGAATAAAATCTGAATGCATATCTCCTTTTTTAGCTCCATATAGGACTTTCTTTCGACATGTACAAGAACTCCTGATTCAATTCTTTGAAGCACTAACTCCTAACTAGTGCATAATATGACTATTAATCAGTCATTTCTGTTCCTGGGGTTCTCTCTGTTCAAGAAAATTGGTGAAAATATATTCTCCATTCTATTTGCAAAATCGTGCAGGATTATTTAGTTGATTCAGCACTCAGCATATATGGGATGGATGAGTATACCTGCATAGCATGTGGAAGCAATTGAACTTTATCACATAAGTTCCTTCACTGAGTTATTGTACCAAAGGGTCTTTCTAGATATGACTTGTGCAGATATGCGTCATCAATTGCATTCAAGACAACCACAGCGAGCCAATAAGGATTGCTGATGTTGCTAGCTGAATGATGGTCAGATAATCTGAAATGCAAATGCACTCAGGGTACGTTGATGGGAATAAAAAAAAAGGAATGCAATGATGACAAAACGACATGGAATTACCTTATCTCTGTACGGTGGTAGAGAAAACCTTCTAAATGAAACTAAATAAATTAAATGAGACCAAGAGAACAGATCAAAACCGGCTGTGATTCTGCAGTAACATGTGCACATATGTGTATATGTGTAGAATATAGCAAAACATATTGAGATATCTCAGGCTTTTTTTTTTTAACAAAATCCAATTCCTAGTCATGGCCCAAAGCGTCAAGATGCTTCAAAATGTCATTGCTTCTGGTAGACAAATAGGATTCCCTGTTTGTCGTAGAAGTAATTGGGCGCGACATTTCTCAGAATCTGCTTCCAAACTCCTTTTTTCTCAAGGCTCTTCATGAGTGGCTCCAAGTTCTTATATTCTTGAACATTCGTCAGATATTCAAGCCTCATACAGATCACCACATAACCACCTGTAGAACACAAACACAGCTTCGTGTGTACACCTGTAAAGAATATAAGGCCTAAAATAACACAAAAGTGAGCATACCAGGCCGGACAATGCGAAGCATTTCGTCCACTGCTGAGATAGGAACATGTCCCTCTACAAATCCTCCAGCTATGATCACTCCATCATATGTGTCATTCTGAATATCCAGCATGTGATCGCCAATGAAGTCCTACCGCATATAATATGCAAATCCATCGTGACATCGCACTTCAAAGTAATACAACACAAACATGGTACTCACCTGTACAATACGGTTGTAAATATTCTTGCTTTTCAAGATGTCCAACATGGATTCACATGGATCCACAGCATCCAAGTTTTTGAAACCGAAATCTCTCAACTGGAAGTTTTCAACGGAGTCCTCAATGAGTCTTTAACATTTCTATTTCGGTGGATTACTTTAAAAGAGTTAGGGATAACTTATAACTGACCCATTCGCCAACAAGTCCAGTGCCAGCAGCAACATCCAAGATGACAACACCCTTCCGCCGCTCTTCTGGGAAACACTCTGCAAGAGCTTCAGCAGCAATCTGAGGTGCCCTGTACCTTGTGGGTGAGAAATCCTGCAATGCAAAATTAAAAGTAGGAATCACTAACTTGCTTTTACTACATGTCACTCCTACGAATGTTACCATTTCATTTTCATTGTGTTTTAAGGAGTCTTCCAACTGTCGGCAAATAGTCGGTACTTCAGCTTACTTATTTCACTACCGATCGAACCTTTCATAATTATGAGGAAAGCTATGAGATGAAAAGCACTTCTCAAAAAAATTTTAATTTTGATCGAAGTTATTTTCCAACCCTGCTGGCACCTATTAACCCTGTCTCAGTTAAGAAAAACCTTTTTCTCTCGCCTCGCCTTGGGAGGGAGGAGGGAATAAAAAAAGGTTTTCCTTAACTGAGACAGAGTTAGGTAACTTGAAATATGTGCTCCAACCTTGCCACTTGCATTTGATAATTCGACGAAAATAATGAATTTCAGGCATTCATCAATTCTCACAGCGTCCCTCCCCATTTTACGCCGATGAAATTGCAAGGCAAGATCACACAAGCCTCCGATTTCTATCTTGGTAAAACCTATGATATAAAAATGCAATGATTCAGAGCTATATGCCTCTTTAAAGGCTTAGAAAATGCAGATTCGAAAGTAAGCCTGCGACAATTGTGTATCACCACGAACAAGGACGAGAGCTTATAATTTGCAGGTGCGGGAAAAAGCGGAACCCACGCCTACCTTGTCGTAGTGAGCGGCAATTGAACCATAGCGACCGAGCACGTCACAGGTGAAGAAACCCACCCCCTGGGTCATCGAGATCATCCCGGTCCTGTCCCTCGTGACGGCGGGGGGGACCGCAGAGAGGTAAGTGGTGGTAAGTCTTGGTAATTTACAACACGGAGAAGCACGCCGGCCCCGCGTGACTCAGAGGTGCGGATCCATACATTCATGTTACTCGATATGCGATTCCCGACTCACCATCCTCGTCAACGGAGTCCAGGATTTTTCGAGTAAAACACGCTGGAAAAAGCTCGAAATTCGAAGGCAAGGTAATTTAGAGCTCGGTCAATCGCGATCCCGCTGCAGAACAGAACTTGATATATTCCACTACTTCATTTCACCCTGACGAAGATGCGTTTAAAGTGCGCTTCGGTTCCGATACATGTAACAAAGATGCAAGGGGTCGACACGATATGCTTCGGATTTTGATGTTGCTGCTGTTCCATAGGTCGACACGGATAGAAAGAACTTCCTTCGCGAACCTACCGACATTCGATCGAGCATTCCTCTCGACCTTTCGTTCACAGTTGCCCGATTGAATGGAATTTCCCATGGGATTATAGGCTGTCTATTTTTATGCGATGAAATGTCCATATAAAATGAAAGTTCCTCTGGCTGGACTGAAATGTGCACTCAGGTTTTTAACTTTATGGAATTATTGTAAAAATGTGAAGTAGTAAAATATAAAGTCAGAAGTATGGTGTCACAATGAATGCTGCTTTGGTGCCATTACCAGCAATTACCTTATGAATTTTCGTTTTGATTTTTGCTAGAACTTTGTTCTGGGTGCGGCTGACTGAAGCTATACTTCTGCCACTTGCGTATAACCTCTTCGTTACCACCTTTATCGCTAGATTTTTACGCACGCGTGCATCATCGGCAGCGAAAGGGTTAAACGAAGAACGAATCGTCCTTTCTGCACTTTTCAGATCAAGGCCTTTCACTTATGCTACGATCAGCTTCACGGGGCAAGCAGAGAAAATCCTCTGTCAGCGGTGATCGGGTCTCTATCGCATCATCAGCAAATCTGACGAGAGCTGTATGGGCAAATTTCTCGAGATACGATAAACCGATTTCATTTTGATCGAAAAATAAACAAGCGCGTCTAACTCCACGGGTCAGACCCGACGGAAGGGATCCTCACGGTTGCTGACTTCCACGAGAGCCGAGTGGAAGGAGGAATAAGAAAAGGGGACAAAACCGTGAGCAAGGGAGGCCTCACCATGATAGGCACAGTACATGGGCAAACTACATCAACTAAATAGTATACCTTAGCATAGCATCAAAGCAGGGCGGCAGAAGTTCTTGATGCGATTGAGGGGGGTGGCTCTCTTGAAGGCAAGCAGAAAAAAAGTTCGGGTTTTGCGAGTTACGACTCGCAAAGGTTAGCAAAGCGTCCCACAGCTACCACCATCACTGAATGAATGAATCCCAGGCATTGCCAGGGATCCAATGGAAAGACCTTGCATTACCGATCATTTTCAATTTGTCATGCATTCGCATGGCTTGGGAGAAGCCGCAACATAATCAACATTTCCTACCGAGACATTATTATAAGATAATCTGTGAGGTTCGTTATACAACTCTTCTCGGAAGATTCAGCCAACCTGCCCACTCCACGCTTGTGCTCCATTGCCAACCCCTATTCCATCGGATGACGTCAGCAGCGCAAACTGCACCTCCTCTCCTTTTCCAAGGGCTCGTGCTACCGAACATCACTGCAGGCTTTTGGGAGACAGCATATATTGCCCACTTTTTGGATTCATACGTAGCATTCAGTGAAACGAGCGCAAGAGTTCAGTTTCTCATCTGTCTGTCGGTACGCCTATAGTGTTACAGCAATCGAGGTTGAAAATATGTCAACTCTTTAAAGCAATTCCGATTTCGAATGCACGAGATTGTCGAAAGGCAAATTTATTATGTTTATCTTCCGTCAAACTTATTATGGCTCCTTGATCTCCGTTTGTCTTCACGCCCTTCACTCATCTTTTCATAAGCATGAATGAGTAAGTTTCATGGGTATCTTTTACAACAGTATTTTTTTTAAATAATCGAAATGTGATATATTTCAGACTATATGGCACAGACCGTGGATGGCTTGCTTCGAGGTTAGACGCGAAAATGGGGAACAGTCCCGCAAACAGCCGCTTGAAACCTTCATCGTTCCATGCGCCGCAGACGCACTGTGCAGTAACCCGAGGCAGAGGGGAAAGAGCTTTGTATAAATGATCCCAAAACATATTCACTCTTGCTGGAATGAGTTCCTCCGAAGGAATAAAGCTTATTTAGACGTGCGCATTCACAGTTCATGGCAAAACATTCATTGCGGAAAGACAGCAGTTTCAGACTAGAAAGTTAGCGAGAATCGAGTCTCAACAAGGGCTTTCCCAGTGGTCCTCATCTTTGGGAGGAAAATGCCGAAAAGCCACCTTTCCATGAAATTCTAGCGCAGTCAAAATAGATATATATGCATTGTATCGAAACCTGAAAATACCAGACATCCTGGTCTTCATGCGGCCGTTCCGACCCGAATTTTATATCCCACTGTACATGCATTACACTTCCAAAGCAAAAGATTCTAGATCACACAAGGTTGCATTTTTCTCATCGAGCTTGCACGTGGACTTCGCAACCGAAGCAATCATTCTCCCAAGGTCAAACTACGATGAGGTGGAAAAGGGAAGCCAGGGATGACACAAATTATTTTCTATGCTTCTTTCATAAGGGAAATTTTCTGGGGTATTCGACCAGCTACAGGAGATCTTCCAGTCTTAATGAAAAAATACTCGAACGTTGGATGACAGCTGATCATGGCTGACCCACAAAACTGCGAAAACCGCATTTATATATACATTCATAAATCGGCAAAATCTCACGGACCTCACACATTACCCAAGCTTTGTTCATAAACGATGTGTTTAACCAATAGCTGGCTGCATTCGAACGAAACGAACGTAAAAACCCTGCGGATGTGGAAAAAAACAGACCTCTTCATAGACAGGAGCCCAAGATTCGTAGACTTTGAGGCATTCCTGAACACTTTTATGCGGTTGGGCCGCAGCGACGGCGTTGAAGTGACACCTCTCGTCGTCTCCCTCGCCCTCCACGCGAACCTTCATCCCTACCATTCTAACTGCTAATATCTTTCCTCTGCTGTGAGAGGCAGAAGCCGCAAGAAGCATGCGCATGCGAATAAGGAGGACCACTATGAAAGAAATATGCCCTGGCAGCCCCACTGGACACCGAATGGCGTAACACGGCCTTGTTTCCGGATCGGCCCTAGCCAAGGGGTTTCAGGTCAGTTAATCACTGGCAATTGAAACACAGCCATACCATCACATCACTCTTTAACCACGCAAGCCGTTACCACGCACTCCGTAAGCACTGCCAGTACGACGTACCCTCGTTCGTTCGTACGTTCTATGCAGCCTATTTGCTCTACGTCTGTGGATGGAATTTTGTACAATTTTGATCGGCGTATATAGCACATTCAGTACTACATGTTACGTCCATCTTTGTATTCTTTGACGGTAGGGTTCCCTATGGTTTATTTTCTCAAGAGCAAAATTAAAAATGAAAAAATTGCTGCCTCTTTAAGGAAACGAAACATTGAAGACGAAACAGTGAGTGCCTTATTGTTGGATTCTGATAGTGAAATTGATGTTGGTGATGAAAGAGAGCAATCGTTATCCGAGGAGGATTCTGAAGATAACAACGATGTTGGAGCCACAAGTGATTCAGTGACCAATGCTGAAGGTACAGCTCAAGATCTGTGGAATCTGTGGAGCGACGTTGATGCAAATTGCAAGGACGATTCATTTCCCGGGAAACTGTAGGCCACAGAGCAATGTGAATTATCCTCCCATCCTTATTGCTATTTGTTGATGAGGTATTGGTTGACATCATCCATGAAGAAACGAAGAGGTATGCTGCAACATTCATTTCCGAGAACTCTCTGAAACCTAGCTCTAGGGCACACAAATGAACGCCTGTTGACCGAAATGAGAAGCCTAACTTCAGTATCTGACTTCTCTTGAATAATGTCTCGCATTATTGCCTAGGCAACAGGACTGTAAATGGAAAAGCCAGGTCAATGCACAAAGCAAACTTCCCGGAAATAGTTGCAGTAAGAAAAGAGATTTACTGATAATTTTTTTGCCTACTACATCATCTCTCAACACACAAACCCGCCTCGAGTAGCGAAGAAATGCGAATATGTGACCTGCCGAGTTATTAAATGGTAGGTGATCGAATGGCACATGATTCGTAGACCACATGATGGAATGGCCGCGATTAATTTGGCTGCATTGCAGTAGTCAGCGATTAAATGACCTAGAACCCACCCTATCGACTCCCAAACATACTCCCGATCTCATCCGCTGTTTCTCTAAACCGCATTTCATCCATTACAGCTGAGTATGCCTTTTGGAAAATAACAGAAACAAACGAACGACGGCCGGGAGAAAGTCCAAGGAGAACATGCCTGACGAAAGTCCAAAGATAGCATGGAGGACGCTTACATGAAACGAGAAGCGGGGCAGAGACCGCACCAGGTTTCCGTCTTCGTCCAGTCACAGGAGGAATCCCGAGGATACACCTAGAGTTGTAAGAGGAATCAAGATCAGAATCCCCTCAAAGTAACCTTGGGTGTACCCTCCCTCCATGAGAATGGGTAGAAAAATTGCATTCCTCGATTGTATCTGCATATGATAAGGCTTAACCTTTGCACGCGGGTTCCATATTCAGCAGTTTCTCCTCCTCGGTTTCCTGAGTATCGCATGAGATTTGGAAATTAAAGATTTTTCTCTCAGTTCATGTATGCCTCAGCTTCCATTCGCATGTCAGCCGAGGTTGGTTTCATTTCGAATACTAGGAAATGGAGGACAGAGGAATCTAACACTTTGGGACTGAGTAAGATAGAGTGTGAGGAATCCCCAAAGTCTGGCAATAGTGATACAAAGACGTATCAGACCTTGCAACTTATGGACACTAGCCGAGTCACTCTTGAATATGCATTCATGCCAACCTCGTGACAACCCCTAATCTTTACCATCCACAATGCAATACTCTGACACAGTAAATGTTCTGCCTGCTCCATCCCAAATGGTAAGTTGAAATCTCAAGGTGATCTCTACAAGGTCTACATCACTGTCTGTCATATTGTCATGTAACATCTCTGTGTGTCAGTAAAATCTCCCACGTTTAAAATAAATTTTAAAAAACCCAAGTGGATGCAACCCTTAAATGGAAAGCAATATTTTTCATCTACCCTCATTCCTCTTTCAAATAAACCCAGGCAAGGCTGAAAGGACAGCTGAAGACGAAACCAATACTTCTTAAAAGGTCAAGAAAGCTGTGGGAGTAAACTGAGCCTGAAAGCCAACAAATCTTTTCAACTGCTAGGCCTGAAAGTAAGTAGGGCATAAGACAACTCTGCTGACCTTGTAGGTGAGAACTGAAAGTAAAGTCAGAATGAGTTTGACAAGTTCCAATGTCTATTTTTCATAAACCAATAAATAACTTAACTTGCCTTCACAAGTATCAAGGATGCTATGAACTGGTTATCAGCTCAAAGAATCTAGATTCTAGTGACTAAACTAGAGATGCAAAGGTATTGACAAGTCACCAGCACCTGATATTACAATATGAAAACACAGGCATCTGGTAATTGTAACAAGTATAAGATTTTCCATTCCCCCATAGAAAAAAGGCTTTGGAGAAAACTTCCAATAGAACATAGACATAAAAAAGGACCTCAAACTATAGAAGCGACATTCGAAGCTAGCTCATATTTCCCTCAGGGTAAAAGTTATGAAAAATATCAGTTACCAATATCAATTCTAGTATTCAATAACACCAATAATACCTGATGGTAACCAGGAACTAGTTCAATACCATGCCATCTCTAATCTAAACGGAAATTACAATAAGACTTATCACAGTCCATGACGGACTACGACCTTCCTGCATAGCGAGGAAAACGCCCGAACCTTCATAGTTTCCTGCATCTCGGCTCAGGAAACTATGCACGCATCTTACCGAGAGAGCGCATGGAGTTGCAACGGGAAGGAATCTTCTGTGCGTCAATAATCCAAACGAGTGATTCGATCCAAGACTCATCCTTTATACATGAGATTTATTTGCCGGGTATACCTACAGGAGGCGATGTATGCACGCCTACACGAAGAAGGAGTGAGCCAGGGGCATTTGTCACACGTGGGAATGTCACAAAGACGTCTGTGCCGGATTTCAAAAGTGAATCACCACATACGATGAGAAGTTTCGCCAAACGCATCAACATAACAACATAGTTCTGCGGATTAAGACCCGAGTGGGATGAGGGACAGGAGAGAAAAAGTCCATTAGAATGAATCCAACGCCGAGGGGGGTTGTCACGACGATGTCCGCGCCGCGCCGCCAACGCGCGTCACACTTCGAAGGGGGAGTCCGCCGCAAACACGCTCGCATTCCGATCCGATTTCTTGTGCCGAACACTGCTTGTCGATTCCCCCTTCGCCTCTGCCCGGGAACGAAATCAGGGTTCCACATCAATGTGAAGAAAAAAGTTAGGCAGAATAAGTCTACAAAGATGCATAGGCCTATATGGAAGAGATGAATACACTCCGCGTTGTTCTCAGAGAGCGAGCGATGGTCTGTAATGAAATAATTTCATAGCAGTAATATTCCAATATAGCATGTGCAAGCTATGCAAAATCAATGCTTTGAAAAGCAGTCATCTGCATGTCATATTGATAGTATATTTAAAAGGACCAGTTGTGGTATTTTTTAGTGCACACACCTCTACTGGTGGAATGAAAAACTGTTTTCCCCCGAATGTGCTTCCTATGTTCTCTGCTTTCACTCAGTGACATGCAAGCATAGGCATCAACTGGGAGTGTAATCAATGGGCAAGTATCAGGCCAATTCCAATCACATCCATTATTAGCACACAAATGCGGATTAAAGATTTGAACATAGGCCTAGCTACATGCTAAATATTCATCAAGTGTGAATTATATGAGAAGTTACTAACTGCCTCAATGATATCACGAAAGTTTAGGCCTAATGAGCTATGGGATGTTAACTCATGTCACAAGCAATCCATACCAGAATAAAGGCCTCCCAATAAAGACATGGTGCTTAACTTACCCAGCTGCATCATCAGAAGCGGTCAAAGGCATATGGCCTGAAAAAACAACCAGTGCCCACCATCAGAAAGAAAGTAGGACTCCATGGGTAATGAAGAATTCCCTTTAATAACAGTCAGCCATGACAACAGTCACTGATACTGAAACACATCTAACCTGGCAGTAGCGCCAGCAGCCATCATGCCTGGAGACCGACGAGAATAGAGATCAGGGCCAGCTGGAGGCATTGCACTTGGCACAGCAGGAGGCCCCCCAGTACGGTAGCGTTCCATAACATCCAGCGGAGCCCCATAGCGATCGTAAGCCGAAAAGGTCTCCCTCACAGGTTCTCTCACAGGAGGTATGCGACGTTCGTACAGATCACCCATAGGAGGTGATGATCTCATCCGGTCATACCGCTCAAATTCAAATCCTCTTGGTCGATCAAAGCGATCATCCTTTGAAAGTATTCAAAGCAGAGTCATTATCAATGTATTAAATATATGTATAGGGTATGGCAAAAAAAAAAGCAAGATCTTTTAACATATATATCTCTGCTACCACTGGAGCTATTTCTAGAAAACATGCACAAGGCACAGACGTGTTTCCAACAGATATACATGTTGTTACCAAACTTTGTTGTGCTGAGGCAAACCCAGCATTGGTGCACTGAGGTGTGATTAACCACCATCACTTTTATATAGGGTCTAGTTTTCAATAATGTATTTTTTAATTTTTCTATATAACTGCATTACAAGGAAATATTTGAATCATTTTAATAGTGTGCTGTAAAAATTTGAATTTTTTTTCATAGGGGTAAGTGAAACCCCAACAAACTAACACTGGGTTAAAAAGAAGCAGCAAATAGAAAATGGAAAAAGGTTCTTGCAAGTAATTCTGCTGAGGAAGCACCTTTGTGCTCTGGGTGCATGCCATCTAGGCTAGTGGTTCTCAACTGGTGGACCATGGCCCACTGTACACATCAATGTTCTTTTGGAGTTTGGGAGGTTGAAATCCAATAATCTAAGTCACATTGAACTTCTTTTTCAAAGATATTAATTCTTTTGAATGGCCTTTTTGCTGCAGATGGTTTTGGTAAACTTCTCCAAGAAATCAATAAGTATCAATACAGAGAGTTTGCTCAAAGTCTATTCAGAGTTTTCCTTGGTTTATGATAGACAACAAGGCAGACAGTCTTTAGTCACTCAGAAGGAATTGGGCTCTCACAAACCAAATTTACTATTTCACTTGAAATATTCCTAATAGCCATGTTTGAGCAAAACCATTTTGAATGTATGTTGGGGGCATGTCAGTCTATGCAAAGAATGAGTTTCACAGAAATAGCTACAGTGAGAGCAGGAGACAAATATTTTAAAGTTATGTCTTTTACTTTTCCCAAATCCTGTGGATCACATATGCACAGACCTCAGGTCTCTTGCATTCTAGAATCTTCACTGTATCAAAAAAAAAAAGGCCACTTTATTTTTTCAAATATCTCCATCCTATTTTGACATGACAACATTTCTAGCACATCAAATCTTAGTTGACTAAAAAATATTTCTGCCAAGTTTAAGAAAATTTCAACCAATGGTCCAACTGCAATAATTTTTCAAAATTGAAGTATTAAAAATGTCAGTAAACAACCAATCCTCCACTGCTCCTCACCAAGTGCATTCCAACATAAATGAGCATAAAAAGCAGGCAGTGATAAATCTGGCTTTTGATACTTCTTACCAGGTTTTCACAGTTACTTGAGGATCAGGTTGCATTTTTGGTATTATCATCATTTGCTGCAGGCATCAGGCCTAACTCCATTGATATGGTTTTTTGTCAGATCGTGAATCACAGTATTCAAATTTGAAGAATATCATGGGATTCAGTGAAGAGGAAAAAGCACCTGTTCAAAGGGTTGTGAGAGATGAAGAGGTACAGCTCTCTCCGGTTCATGAAGAAATTCCTTGGGGGGAAAAATAGGTCACATCATAGTTTTGATAAAAGTGTTGAAAAAAAAAATAGATTGGCAGAAACGTGGAAGCAGTATGATACATAGAACCCAAAAAGCAGAAAATATTGAGACTGGAAGAATTGGTCCTCGGTCATGAAGGGATCACTCTCAAACTCTTTTTTTAAATGAGCATAATGAAATCAAAATTTACTTGTGCAACTTAAATCAAAGCTAATGAAAACCAATTTCATCAGTGAGACTGCCTGCTGCCTGCACTGTGATTTTGGAGAGCACCAAAGTGATGCACCTGGTTAGAAGAAGGGTGTGAATTGCTTGTTCACTGCAATTTTTTACACCTTGAAAAGTTATTGCTTTCTCCAAGCAAAGGGTGATATTCTTTTCCACTTGACAGGAATCACCCTCGGTTTGATACAGCATGTGCCAAAAAAGCATGCGCTTTGAATGATACTGGATGGAGATATTTAGAGAAATAAACTGGCCTTTTTTTCTGTACATAGACTTTATATCTGCACATCAGAATACCATGTCTCAAAAGCCTCTTGAGCAAAGAATGTGATGCATTATGCACCTTCCTAATGCCAAGGTTAACACCTGACGACTGAAATCCTGCCACCAATTTTTGTGAAATTGCCAGGGGACTTATAATCAGTCAAAAGCTGATAAGATTCTCCCTGATGAACCTGAAAGCCTTATTTTCTAGTTGGTTCCTTTTCTTTCAGCCCTATTGTAATACTCTGGGGCCATCCAAGAAGGGAGATTTCATATCAACTGGAGAATTCACTACTTGAGGTTTTGAGTGAGGCATTTCAAAACTAAAGTCAGCAAGATGATACCTGAGATAATATAGTGCATGCCATAAAAATGTTCAAAGCCATAGAAAAGTTCTTCAGATGGCTCTCATTGCAAATTCTTAGTGTTCAGCACATCAGCAGCTCATTCTCAGTATGATCCTAAAATTTATTAATGATTTGATGAATCCTCATGAAGTGATCCCCACTGACAGAGCTTGAATGCTTTTGCATTCTCCAGGCAAGTAAATGCATACAAGAGCACTTTGAATATTCATCTTCTATGGCTTGAAACTTGCTCAAATGATCCATAACAGTCAAGTTGGGTAAAATGTCTGAAATCTTTGCTCACCTAAAAGTTGGACTCAAGTATATGAACTCAAAACTTGTGTGAATAAAAAAAAAAGGCACCCAACCGTCAAGGACACAAGAATGAAATTGAAAGTTAAGATTGTCATTAGGGGTATACACACAGTCCTCAATTCTAGTTGTATCATATCAAGAACCTTCTCAGACATGGTGCATTTGATTGTTTGACCTAATACTTCTTAAAATATTACCATCATCTCATGGATAAGAAGCTGTGATTATCACCAGGCCCTAATCATCTCAATCATCATTGGAACTCACATAGCGAGGTCCATATGCAGGAAGAGGTGGCGGTGGGGGGTATGGAGCAGCTCTATCACGATAGCCAGGTCCAAAACGGCCAGGTGGGAATCTGTCCATCATAGGAGGACCAACCCGCGGAAGGAATCCTCCACGTCCACCCATCATACCATACCCAATTCCTATAGCTCCACCTCTACCACCTCCTCTTGGTCCTCCTCTGTAAATTTCAGTACTTCACCATCATGGAAGTATAATTGAGGGAAAAGAAATCAAGAGATAATAAATCAAACAGTAATTTGCACACACAGAGGGTAATAATATCCTGGAATTGTAAATAGTCTAGTTGAACCTCATAGAAAATAAACTGAGAATCTGTACCTTGTGCCAGGTCGACTTGTGGATGACTCAATGGTTAGAACTTGACCATTCAAAGTAGAACCCTTCAGCCCTTCAATAGCTAGAGTAGCTTCCTCAGCAGTTTTCATGTGCTGAAAAATGAAAGAAATAGCACTGAGTACACCTCATGGAGACAGATGAGAGCAGTTGAAACACTTCCCATATCCACCTTCATATTCATATCACTTTCCCATATCCATGGAAGGTAATTATAGCCAGATATGTTAAACAAAACTGCACAAAAAAGGCCTAAACAGGAGGCATGGGTTTAGCTAATCATATGGTCTTAAAAAATAGAACTACCATTGATGCCCTCTTTCTTTCAAGTCAAGTATACTTGACAAAGTACATCTAAAGTTACACGAGTTCAATGTCAGCTCCCAGGACTACTCACTGGTGTTGAAAGTTCAAAGGGAAATTTATCAGCATAACGATAACATATATGCTCACCACCTTCAAGATAACTCATGATGGTGCCATGTTAGATGAAGAGCACACAAGAATCTGTGCAGCATATTTAGAGACCACATAAATGGTCGGAGTGACATGTAGATCAGGAATAAAGAACCATGATATCAAATACTAATTCAAATTAGGAAGCCATGCTCTACCTTGTTTTTGGAGCTGTCATGATAGTGACAACCCTAAGCCCTAAAGCTGAAACCTCATTTAGGCAAGCTAAAGAGACCTTTGAGCTATAGGGCTCTTTTTCCCTATTTGTATTTAGTATTTGGACCCTAATTTTTTCTTATGTTGTTGAGCATCATTTACCAAACCAAATTCAGGTGGTCTTTTCTTGTTCTTCATTTGGCACATTTTCTTTGGGTATCAGTAGCTCAGAAAGCTAGAGATGGTTTGTGGCAGCGATGGCGTCATACTGGCAGTTGCTTATGTGTTGGTATAGCCCCACTAACAAACATATCCCACTTTGAATTTGCATTAGCAGTAACCCCTAGGATTTGTGTAAAACTCCATTCCCAAGTAGGGCAAGTGATACAAATTTTAATCCCTTTAAGCTTAAAATCCGCCCTCTCACCTATGTTCTGAATTTGATGGTTTGGGGATCTATTCTGTTCCATAGAAAAATGCAAACACTGTCACATTTTTAAACTGAACATTGGTGTTTTTTGGTTGAAAAAGGCTGTTTGGATTTCTCATTATGCTGAATTGTAACATGACATATATGAAATATAGCCAGGTCCGAGTTTGTCTCCCCCACCCTATACTGAATTCTCTCTGCACCAACACTGAGATAGAATTGCGATTGTATTGTTCACCCTGGTGCTACACTGACATGAAACACCAGTAAATCGCTGCACTACTCTTACATGGCAGACTGGGTTCAGAACCAATCATCAAGTGAATATTTATGTCTATATGAACTCATCCAATATCACCATGCCTTCAAGTGTAGCATCATAGAGTGCTGAGGAAATAACAATAAAAAAGCAAAATTAAAATAGAACTTACCACAAAGGCATAATTTTTGACCTTTGAGCATTCCTCCACTTCTCCAAATTTTGAGAACAGGGTCTTCAATTCCTCCTCAGATGTTTCACTGCCAACATTTCCCACATATATTTTCCTAGACTTTCCTGCACCCTCTTGAGATCCTGTGAGAACAGAACAATGATACATTGCAGCAGTTAGCTCTGCACTATATTAACTGCAACTACTTTTATGATGACCATAGTCAGCCCTCATTATATCACCACTTGGTATAGCACCTCACTTAATCATCACCTTTCAACATCAACACTTTCCTGAGAAGGAATCTTCCCCATAAGCTTAGAATAGGCAATCCCTTGTTCTAGTGTTACACTCCTCCACCAGAATCATTTATGCAAATGTGCTTTTTCCCATGTAAATCAATTTTGTGCTAAGTAGCATACCTGCTGCAACCCCTATCCAGTATGCACAATGATAAACATTTGTTGCTGACTTCTCCCACTTCATTAAACAGATGGCAAGACCATTAAGAGTGACTCATACCTGTGAAATAGATAGTGCATAGCAAACACGCAGTGTCAGAAGAGGTTATGAGTGACAATATAAGCTTCACATTCACTTATTCAATTTGTCCAGTGGAGATTTTGGTATCATAGCCTCCAGCACATTAAATTAACATTAATTTAACATAGCACCACTTAATAGTGCCAAAATCAATGATAACCAGCAGTGGCATTATATTGATAGTTGACTGTAATATGGAGGTAAATGAGCAGTGACAAATCTCTTTTTCCAGTATCTTGTTTCCTGGTGTATAGGTATATACAAGACAGCACCAAAAACAGTTAATCCACCACAGACTAAGACGAAATGTATATGAAATGCATAGAACTTCCTTGTTTTGATGGTAAAACTTCCAGACAGAATTCAGGGACTCACCAGAATCTCGCCTGCAAAGAAAATGAATAATAATCAAAAATTGATCAATCCAACCACGATGGCTGCTACATCAGTCACAAACAGCAGACTTACTTGGGACAGTCACGAGACCAGTGTCCTCCATCACCACAATAGAAGCATTTGTCTGATCCCCCCATTCCTGGTTTCTGTCGAACTTCGCTAGTGGAAACTTCAACGTTCAACTTGCGAGAACGCAGTGGAAACCCTTGAAGATTACTGATCGCAACTTGAGCTTCATTGGCATCAGTCATGTGCTGGAAATGAAAAAGCAAATGCCACTGTTGATATGAGGCTACAGTTGATACCACAGTGAGTACCACAAAATAAACAAGGATAAGTCTTGACTTGCTCAATGGGATCAAGCAAACACTAAGCTCAGGATAATAGGAACCTGACAGTAAGAATTATCAATTAACACTCACCACAAAGCAATAGTTTCTGACAATGTCACATTCAACAACATTGCCATATTTCTCAAAGAGTGCACGGATCTCTTGACTTCTGGTGTATTCATCAAAATTCCCCACAAATATCTTTGTGGTGCCGTCAAGCTTCCCAGGCATTATGAGCTCTTTAAATACTGCTAATCAAAAGTCATCTAAAAACCTGCAACAGAACAGACACCAGGGCAATAAGGGTATAGAGTTATCTGAGAGCATGGAACAATCAAATACCTATAAAATATGGTATTTTCATTCTATGGGCCCCTACAAAACTGAGGTTTGGGGGGAGTTTTAAGATCTATGCACAAAAAATATAATGGACCAATGGCAAATTAAAAGCAATTCACTGGGTGCACTAACACTAGATGGTGCATTTATGTATTTTTTAAGTATGGCGCTGCCCATGACTGGGGGAAGTCACACATAAGGAGGAGAATGCAACAAGTCATGTCTTCACAGATTTGCCCAATTCTTCTTCACATGGGGCTCTTCCCAATTTTTTCTCAGAACTTGAGGGCCACAACAATGATAAAGGGAGCTTCTAGCCAAAGTAAAACATTCTAAAAATGCAACAGAGTTCAGGGGTATGCAAAAATGTAGTTCAAGGAAGGTGCAGGGTTTCCTCAAAGCCACTCACCAATGCAAGGATTTCCACAGAATCATGGGCCTTAGTGAGGTATGTGTATGTGATATGCGTGGGATACTACTAATATCTTCCAGTTTCTTATAAAATTCCCTACAACAGGAAACTACTTTAAACTTGAAGTTTTGACTCCCTCTGTATTCACTTTAGTGCTGCTACCTTTTTTTTTCTATTAATTCTGCTTCATGGGCTAAATCACAACCCATGACAGAAACCCTTTTCAATTAGTACCTCTTGATAAAATATATTGTGTCAAGAGTTAATGTTGGCTATTTATCCTGAGATAGCAAATGCCAAATTTGATTTTCATAGGCCCATGGAAAGCGAAGGCCTAGACTGAAACATCATAACAGGCCTTTCAGTCTGTCTGGATACTCTAAGTAGAAACTTCAGACCATCAATTACTTACTTCATAATCCTTCTTGGCCTGAGGAAATCCCTCTAGAAAAGAAAAAGAAGCATTTTTGTAGTAAAAACAGTCTCTATCTGCATGTTTCCAAAAGAAATGCATTGAAGTTTTCATGCTTGACTCCCCCAACCTCATTTTTATGCTTCATGCCACCAGATGTCTCCAACTTAATACACCCAGTGAATAATCCCATGTTCCAAAGGATTACAAGAATGCTTTTTTGTCATATGCTGCAAGAAACAACAGGATTAAATTACAAGATTTGCCATTCAATGCCAATAAAGACAAAACAAACTGTGGCTGTGTCATATTGTTTTCAGTACATTATACAAGCCCTCATTAGAAGAGGTAACTCTGTGAGATAAAAGGCATGGATTTTGCTCACAAAATGGGAGTTTTCATGTAATGCTCACTTTTCACTCCAACAAATTTTCAGGCAGAAGTATCTGTTATAAATCCTGGGCATGTTGGGAGATCTGCAAAGGATTTGTGTATGCTACCCCATTTCTTATTCTTATGCAGTGAGTCTTCACGTGGGGAGAAATGGCCATTCCATAAAAATGTATTAAATACTTCTTGTAGGAAAATCAAGCCTTTTCAGATATATAGTTAAAACTTACCTAAAAGTATAGCAAACCTGTGATAAATGTATACCTTACTGTTACACTTGATTAGAATAACCTCTGCTTCATATCAGATATTTGCAAAATGATACTACCACTTGAAGCCTCTGACTATGGTGCAAGTATCTCCTACAAAAATGCAACATGAGAGAGGAAAGTATCCTTGCATTGGATAAACATGAGCTTCAGAGGTGTATGGACATTCAAGTCCCATGAAACTGAAATGTATGCAGCTCTCCAACAGAAACTACTCAGTTTGAGGCACATGCAGGGTGGTCCAGGTGAAGTATAACAAACCAATATGTACTTTTTTTTAGAAACAGCATGTTATATTAACTCAAAATTTTTACAGCATGTTCCTGACATAATGGACCAGACAAGATGTAAGTTACACTCAAAGTGGCAACCTTAGGCTTTCATTATGGCCTTCAACCTCTTCTCGAAGTTGTTGACACATTTCATTGCCACTTCTTTTTAGAAATATGTCCCAAATACAAACCAAATCTGGTTGGAGATGAGCCAGACTGTGGTGGGCTTGGAACTGGCCTTGGACTTGAGAATCAACCACATGGCATAGTCAAGAAGGTTCAGATCTGGAGACAGCACTGGCCACTCCTCATTGGTCAAAAACCTTGGCAAATTCTTCCGATACCTATTCTGGGTCACATCAACCAAATGAGACATTGCTCCTGTTCAAGACTCATCCTCGAACAGATCTTGAGCCCAGGAAAGCAGGGCATCCTGCAGGATGGATTTCATCTTAACGTCTTAAGGCTCAAGATCTGTTCAGGGAAGAGCCTTGGACATTCAAGCAGGACAGAGCAATGTCTCATATGGCTAATGTGACCCAGTACTGGTGTCAGAAGAATTTGCCATGGTTCTTGACAAAGGAGGAGTAGCAGCTGTTGTCTCCAGATCTGAACCCTCTTGACTATGCCATGTGGCCAATCCTCAAGTACCAAGGCCAGTTCCAAGCCCCATCTCAAACAAGATTTGGTTCATATTTGGGACATATTTCTAAAAGTGGCAACAAATAGCATCAACAACTTCAAGAAGTTGTTGTAGGCCATAATCAAGGCCAAAGGTGAAAGTTAGGTTCAAAGGCCAAAGGTAGGTTTCACTTTGAGTGAAACTTACATCATATCTGGTCCATTATGTCAGGAACATGCTGTGCAAATTTGGAGTTGATAAAATGTGCTACTTCAAAAAAAAAGTAATTTGGTTTATTACACTTGACCTGGACCACCCTGTATTAAACCCCTCATTCATTCAGGCTTTGTGATCCAAAACTTTCATCTGACCAGCTGTGAGGAAAACACTAATTAATGAGGGTATAGAGAGGTAGGAGCTTGGAATTCTAGCAGCTACAACTTTGGGGAGTCTCTGAAATTTCACACATATGTAACTATTAGGTTATTACCTTCCAAACATGTCCACTAGTATTCTAAAACTTGCTGTCAGACTTAATTACTAAGAATTTCATGATTATATTTTTGAAGTCCTATGGCAAGGCATTGGCATGGCATTCATCCTTGTAGATGAACATGAGATCATCAGATAGGATACAACAGAGGGCTAGTAAGATGATGTGATGTACAAAAATTATTTAGTGGAATATCAGGGACTTATAGCTTGGAAAAAGGGGCATTTTTGCTACTCTATGCAACAAGCATAACTCCTGAAAAATGCTTCATGTATGAATACCACCATACAGCCTATCAACATTTCTTAATCCACCTTTCATGAACCAAAAAATCTCCAACAACTTTCAACTTTAATATCTCTGCTTACCACAGAACTATTTTCATGAAACTCTCACTTCACATAAATGAGTACGTTTCCAACTGAAACTTAAAATTTCTTCAAAATTTTTTGAGCCAAAGCAATACTATCCAGAATTATTGCAAAGAAGTGATACACTGAGAATGGACAAGAGCTCCTGCTGGTGGCAGAGTTGAGGGAACACTCAAGTGCTATCCTCCCCAGTCATCAAGACCATGTCAAGCTCCTCTTCCATTTAAATTCATTCATGAGGCTGATGGTCTCCTGCAGATGATTTTCATGAGCTTTTTTCCAATGACTGATAAAACCTTCTGAATTGATATTCATTTATTCATCTGCTATTCACTGGGAATATGCTCATGAAAACCATCAGCAAGAGACAATCAGCTCCATCAATGAATTTAAATGGAAGAGGAGTTGAACATGGTTTCAATGACCAGGTGGGTGTGCTTGAGTGTTTCCTCCACTCCACTACAAGCAGGAGCCCTGGTCCTTTCTCAGTGTCTAACTTCTTTTCAATATATGTTGATAGTGTTGCTTTGGCTCAACAAATTCAGATGACATTAATGAATGTGAATCAGTTGAAAACACGCTCATATGTGCAAAAAGAAATTTTCACAAAAACAGTTTCAGTGTAAGATGAAATATTTAGATCAAAACATGTTAGTCATTTTTTTTGCTATACCTTGTCTAATACCTCCCATTATTCTATAAAGCACATATGTACATTCTCATTCACTCCCCCCCCTCCTCCAACACACCTCCCAACTCATCTGTTTGCAACAACCATATAGTGAGGTCAACAGCTCTCAAATCATGCCATTTTCCAAAGTGCATTTCAGCCTTATAATTGTTCAAATTGGGAGCAGGTTTCATTGTTGAATCAAATCTCTCATGTATTTTTTGTAGTGCTCTTCTTAAGTATCTGATGGTTCAGTCCACTTTGGCAGTGGTCCTCTGCAGTCTTCCCCAGGAAAAAGAAAAACCTTGAAGCTGTTGGTTAACTCACTATGTGAAGATTCACCCAAGTGACCAGCCTAGCCAAGAGTCACAATGTCTGCAGTTACCTACATGGCCTAAGCAGGCAGCTAAATTCATACTTAATGCTGGGGAAATTTCACACCTGGTTGCCTAGTCTTTCTTTAATAGCCCAATCAGTAGTTAGGCTACAAAATAATTAAGGCTTACCTTCATGGATACTAACAAAAGGCAAATTGAATTAATAGGCCATGACCTATGCCTATGATTACTCTCGCTCTACTCGTTCAATCTGGTTGCGACCAGAAAACTCCATTAAGAATCATATTTAAGCCATCAGCTGCAGTTAACTATGTGATGAGCATAAGTCTCCTATTGTTGTGGTCCTCAAACAAGGCCACTTCACGTCTTTCGTGTCACAAGCAATCTGACCAATCACGTGAGAACGTGAAGTCTTTCTGTTTCAAAGCCGTCAAGCATGATGCTTGTTAATGTTTTTTTTCATTCCCATTGTCAGACTTTCGACTACGGCCCACCAGGGCTAACCACAGAACGAACGCAGACCATCACCAAAAATGACTTCCTGCAATCCTACTATTTTCTGGATACGTGAACTCACCATAAACAATGCAAGTCATAGCAATAATCCTACTTCTAATGACAGTTACCTGGTAGCGTCCTGAAAACCGTAGCGGAACAGACGTACTAGGACATAAGATGCGCCTCTTCTGATATTGCTAAAGGC